GTAGCTTCAGCTTCATCTGGGACCAAAATGCAAATAATAATAATTATTATTATTACTGAGACAGGGTCTTACTCTCTCACCCAGGCTGGAGTACAGAGGCACCATCACGGCCCCCTGAGCCTTGACCTACCAAATTCAAGTGATCTTCCCACCTCAGTCTCTCAAGTAGGTGGCATGCATCACTGTACCTGGCTAACTTTTTAATTTTGTTGTAAAGACAAGGTCTCACTTGTTGCTCAGGCTGGTTTCAACCTCCTGGGGTCAAGTAATCCTCCCCCTCAGCCTCCCGAAAGTCCTGTGATTATAGGCATGAGCTACCTCACCTGGAACATACTGAACTATTAGAGTGGGACCCTGTAGCCTGTTTGTTTTTTTTTGAGATGGAGTCTTGCTGTCTCACCCAGGCTGGAGTGCACCATCTAGACTCACTGCAACCTCCGCCTCCTGGGTTCAAGTGATTCTCCTGCCTGAGCCTCCCAAGTAGCTGGGATTACAGGTGCCCGCTACCACGCCCGGCTAATTTTTTTGTATTTTTAGTAGAGACGGGGTTTCACCATGTTCACCAGGCTAGCCTTGAATTCCTGACCTCAAGTGATCCGCCCTCCTACACCTCCCAAAGCGCTGGGGTTACAGGCATAAGCCATCGCTTCTGGTCTGTAACCTGTATTTCTACAGCCCCTCCAGGTGATGAGATGTTAAAGTAAAATATGCAAACCACTGATCAGTACTATCCTTGTCCTCGAGCTACAGGTCCACCCAATTTGGCTGATAGTTGTGGAAACCAGTGTTTCCACAATTAATGAGTCAGTCACCCATGCAGCATTAAACAATTTCCACAAGTGAATTCCATAGTAAGTCTTGTCTTGAAATGTTCATTGGCCATGACCTATTTTTGGCAATTTATTTTTCATTTTCTAAGTTCCCAGATGTCAGGATTTTCATATTTCCAATTGCTAGATGTATGCTAATAGAAGATTGCCCCTAGCCACAGGCGCCTTAACATTTGCCTATTTAAATACTTTGTATACTGTCTTTTGCAAGTATTTGCTTGGCATCGTTCAGCATCCAGGCAATGTTTCTATCGTAACTTTGCTGCATCAAAATCAGGTACAAATCATACCAGCTCACACAGAGATGGCAAGACCACCTTTAGACTTGCTGCCTGGGTCTTTAAAATTATGCATGTTAAACTTCTTTCCCCCACTGTGAGATGAGAATTTATTTTTTATTTTCTGAAGCACAGTTTTGCTCGTCACCCAGGCTCGAGTGCAGTGGCGTGATCTCGGCTCACTGCAACCTCCGTCTCCCAAGCCATTCACCTGCCTTAGCCTCCCGAGTAGCTGGGATGACAGGCACCCGCCACCACGCCCAGCTAATTTTTGCATTTTTAGTAGAGACGGGGTTTCGCCATGTTGGCCAGGCTGCTCTTGAAGTCCTGACCTCAGGTGATCAGCCAGTCTCAGCCTCCTAAAGTGCTGGGATTACAGGTGTGAGCCACCACGCCTAGCCTAAAATGAGAATTTAAAATAATGCTTTGAGGCTGGGATCAGTGTCTCATGCCTGTAATCCCAGCGCTTTGGGAGGCCGAGGTGGATAGATCTCAAGATCAGCAGTTTGAGACCATCCTGGCCAACATGCTGAAACCCTGTCTCTACCAAAAATACAAAAATTAGCTGGGTGTGGTGGTGTGTGTATGTAATCCCAGCTACTGGGAGGCTGAGGCAGGAGAATCACTTGAACCTGGGAAGGGGAGGTCGCAGTGAGCGGAGATCATGCCACTGCCTTCCAGCCTGGCGACAGAGCGTGATTCCATCTCAAAATAAAATAAAATAAAATAATGCTTTGGGTTCTGTGATCTAGACAGCAACTTCTTTTGTTGCTAATTAAATGAATGGTATAGAAAGTAAAATGATTGGGCCCCAGGAGAGGCAGGATTTTCTTGTGAATCCAGTTGGGAAATGTCTCAGTTACAGGAGGATTGTTGTTTTAGTTAAAGATGTGCTTTGGAAATGTCTTCTTTCTTCACATTAGTATCATGATCATTATCATGTTTAAAATAAAATAAAATAAAAAACACCATTTACAAACCACCTCGCCACCCAGAACAGATTTACAGTCAGCACTCTGTTTCCCTGGGGCCTGAATCCTTGGATTCAAACAACCTCAGATAGAAAATACTTGGGCAGGGAAAAAGAATGGTTGCTTCTGTACTGAGCGTGTACAGGCTTTTTCTTTTTCTTGGCATTATTCCCTAATGAATACAGCATAACAACTGTTTATATAGCATTTACATTGTACTTGGTATTATAAGTTATTTAGAGATGATTTAAAGTACAAGCAAGGCTGTGCATAGGTTATATGCAAATATTACCTCATGTTATATTATGGACTTGTGCATCTGTGGACTTTGGTATCCTCAGATGTCCTGGAACTCATCCCTCCGAACGACAACTGTACTTCATAGGCTGTCCAAAATGAATTGGACTGCCAGCATTCTCTACTTTTCCATGTATTACTCTTAGGTCAGGGGTAAAAACAAATCCCTGTATTTTATAATGAAGAATGAATCCCTGAGTCATTTGATTGCTTCAGTAACAAAGCAAACCACGTAAAAATACCCTCACAGGCTGGGTGCAGTGACTCACACCTATAATCCCAACACTTTGGGAGGGTGAGGCAGGCGGATCACAAGGTCAAGAGATCGAGACCATCCTGGCCAACATGGGTGAAACCTCGTCTCTACTAAAAATACAAAAATTAGCAGAGCATGGTGGCGTGCGCCTGTAGTCCTAGCTACTTGGGAGGCTGAGGCAGGAGAATCCCTTGAACCTGGGAGGCGGAGGTTGCAGCGTGCCACTGCACTCCAGCCTGGCAACAGAGCCAGACTCCATCTCAAAAACAAAACAAAAAAATCCCTTCTAAGGAAAGCCATCAGGTAGCCTCAGAACGGATACAATCTCACCCCATTTACCTAACCTTTTCTGCCAACGCAGCTGAGCCTCTAGACACTGCTTTAACAAACTCTCTCCGGGCCAGTCTTCTCAAGGCCATCTTTGCTTTCATTTACCTTTACATGTCTAGGGTTGCTGCTCAAACCTGTGTCCCCTCAAGTCCTTTCCCAAATAAAGGATGGCAGTTAATTGGCAATAGACAAACAAGTCTCAGAACAATTATGAGGGTGTAATGAAGTTTGCATTCGTACATGCAATTAAATAGAGGAAAGGCCAACGAGGGGATGTGTATACAAACCTCCTCCAGCTGGCACACCTTGCCTGGAGGTGCTCCTCCACCGAAAGCCCGTCATGTGTTCCTCTGGAGTTAAGTCCCAGTTTTTGAGCCCATGATGCAAGGTCTTTTCCACCTTCGTCACTGGTTGACTTAGCCTGGCTTGTAACAAACTCTCAGTGTCATCCGCCTCCAATTCGGTTTTCCCCAGGTCTTGCGTACCTTGGCCTTCAGATGGGAAGCCAAGAGGTGCTGAATGTAAAGGTGGCCGAGAGAAAGGAGAATAGACCCAGAGTCAGGCAAGCAAGTTTTATTAACCTGCCGGGCTGCTTCGTAACCATCAGAGGAGGCAGCCCTGAGCTTACAAAATGCGGGGTTTATATGAGGTGAGAGGGGTATAAGGGAGTTTCAGGACTGAGGTCATCTATCCACTGGTAACAGGCACAGAGATAGTTTGTCAACTTGTAACAGACCTACAATACATCATCCTATGACTTTTGTGGCGGCAGTTTTAAAAAAGAAGAGAAACCAGGATTTTTTACAGATATGCGTCAAACAGGAATTTACGAGCATGGATAACTAACATTTGTTTTCCCTGTCCTCCTTGGAGCTGCCGGGATGGGTGTAATCAGGCTTTGCTTAATTGTAGCACGTCTGGCAGCCTTGATGTGGTGCCTAGGTAGGAGTTCAAAAATGCAGCTGCAGAGCAGTCAGAGTCGCGGGGAAGGGGTCAGCTTGGGCGGAGGGAGTTTTCTAAGGCAGCTTGTCCCTAACACTGAGCATGTGAAGGAGGGTGATCTTTTCCCCCTCTGATTATTTTTTTTCATTGAGATTCTAAGTCCTCTGTCATTTCAAAGAAAGGTTACTCTCTTCACTTTGGAGTTATGTTCTGCATATCTTCCTAAGTAGAAAAAAATCATTAAATAGGCCAGGCGTGGTGGCTCACATCTGTAATCCCAACACTATGGGGAGGCCAAAGTGGGTGGATCGCTTGAGCCTAAGAGTTCAAGACCAGCTTGGCCAACATGGGGAAACCCTGTCTCTTCTAAAAAATACAAAAATTAGCTGGGCGTGGTGACACATGCCTGTAATCCCAGCTACTCGGGAGGCTGAGGCAGGAGGACTGTAATCCCAGCTACTTGGGAGGCTGAGGCAGGAGGATTGCTTGAGCCCAGGAGGTCAAGGCTGCAGTGAGATGTGATGGTGCCACTGCACTCCAGCCTGGGCAACAGAGTCAGACACTGTCTCAAAGGAAAAAACCCAAACACACCTCAAGTAACATCTGCGAAATAAAGACTTCTGAGTAGAATACAGAGAAAGCCTCTAAGATGGCCCCAGGGGAGCAGTGACACGTTTAGCCTGATTAATTGGCTAGTTTGGGAATCATTGTTTCCAAAGTGAGTGACAAGGCAGGGCTGGCTGGTGTCAGCTTTGTCCTCGGCTATAGTTAAAGGCAGGCTGGGAGGGCTGACTTGTTCAGTCTTGGTAGCAAAAAAGTGCATGGTGTCTGGATAAGCAGGTTGTACAGCCTATTAGAAACGAAAGGTGACAGGTAACAGTTTTCCTCTAAGACAATAAGTGATGTTTTTTAAAGTTCTCCTGTTGAGATTTTTTTGTTGTTGAGACTGAGTTTCGCTCTTGTTGCCCAGGCTGGAGTGCAATGGTGTGATCTCAGCTCACCGCAACCTCTGCCTCCTGGGTTCAAGCGATTCTCCTGCCTCAGCCTCCCAAGTAGCTGGGATTACAGGTGCGTGCCACCACACCCAGCTAATTTTTGTATTTTTAGTAGAGTCGGGGTTTCACCATGTTGGACAGGATAGCCTCGATCTCTTGACCTCGTGATCTGCCTGCTTCAGAAGGAGAGTAACCCGTGCCCCAGGACCACTGATGAAGGCCTCCTGTTGATAATTTTAAATACCAGAATCTGAGAGTGGAGAAAATTGGCCCAAAGACAGACAAAAAAGCTGGGAAGAAAATCAACTACATTTTTCAACACACAAACAATGCCATTTAAAGTACTGGATTGAGTGTAGAAAAATTACCAACATTCCTAATTTGGTTAGTGTCTATATTTCTTAATATAGTAGTAGTTAAAGTCTGTCTCCTAAGTTTGTATAAATCTGACCCCCATGTCATTGACCAATTGGAAATAATAATGTAAACAGACTCTGTTGCCTTAATTATGTGCACTGAATGCTTTGTCAAATTGTAACTATTTTAATATTAATTCTAAGCCGCAGGTCTTTGCCAAACAAGATACTGAATTACTCTCTTTTGTTTAGGAGTAGAATACACAATAACCTAATATTTAAAAGTATTATTGAGAAGACGAAAATCTTGAGATTGAATTTTTCTTTATCCTAAATTTTAGATGATTCTTTTTGCTCTACTCCATAGAAGACACTAAGAATTAGCTTGATCTGCTTTCTTATTTTATTTTTTTCTACTTGACCTAAAAATCCAGGGGTGGGTTACACAGAGTTTACTTAGGAGACTTTGGTAAGGGAGAGAGAAAAATTATATACAATCTGGAAACACGAAACATGTAAACAATGAAAGCTAGAAGAATGGAAGCGACAATGTGCTCAGGAAATTATGTGTCATTTTGTCGGAGGTCAGGGTGCCCTGAGTCCAGGGAGGGTAACACTGGTTTTCCTGACCATTGTGAAGGCAAGGAATCCGTGTGTTGTCCTATCAGTTCCATTCAGGGCAGGGTAGAGACTTTTCAAATGGAAGAAAATGTGCATTAAAGGACATTCTTTCTTCATGGGGTGGGGTAGTGAATGCCTTGGGGTTCAGGCATGGAGTTGTTTGGGCCAGGTAAATAGTGAGGGGAAATAGCCAGGCAGTCAGTGGTGAAGTTGGTATTTTGCAAGTCATTTTAAGAGGATACCAAATAAAGTGCATTAATCTGTATTTCATTAAAAATTAGCTGGTGGGAAAGTGAAAAGTTGAAGACAAGGACCTTCTAAGTAAAACAGCTTGATACTCCTTGGCCATAACACAGTGTTTACAAATAGGGGATAAAACATTCACTTCTTAGGCGCTCGATGAGCTTAACTGGGCAGACACTTCTGAGCATTCAATCCCATTCTCTGGGTGGTTAAAGGCTGAGTGCCCACCAAATCCCCTATCTCAGCATCATCTGTGACCATGATTCAAATTCTTTCCCATGAAGCTCTAAGGTCTCATCTGACTCAGTAGATGTAACTCAAGACTTGTACCTTTGACCCCAGTATTCTAAGACAAACACCACAGCGGATGCTGGAAGTGAAAGGAGAGGAGGGGTTTGTTTTAAAGTCAGGGGCCCAAGGTGCCCTGGCAATTTCAGACTCCCTGGGACCGGAGCTCCTCCTCCAGTAAGCTCTTGTTTTTGAAAAACAGTAGGGTGGGGCCAAAAAGCATTACAATGGAGCTGGGATGGATGAGGCTTTCTTTCATTTGAAATGTCACTTGTGTCAGGTTTCATGAAACAGTGCATTGGAAAACAGAAGCTATGTTCTGCCCCGTGGGTTGCGCTGGAAGAGCCGAGAGACCAGGCTGTGGATCTCTGCCACCAGCAGCAAGAGAGGGCAAGCCCAGCCGCCCGCTAGGGGACCAGCAGGAAGCGGCGCGCCTGCCAGAGCTCATCACTTCAACCCTGGCTTTCACTGCGCTCACTCCCTGAATGGCAGTAACCGGGGGGCGGGGGTGGCATGGGAAATGAAAGAAAAGAGATCTGGGAAAGTAAATCTGCCCGGGGAAAAAGAGTTACCGGAGTTTTGGCAAAACAGCTAGCAGATGCAGACGGGGTGGCAGAGGGAGGAGAGAAAGCTGGGCTTCAGCAACCTGCCACGGAAATTTAAACAAAGGAGGTTTGAGAGAGGCGGATCCGGCTGAAATATCGGCACGGGGACACAGAGACCGCTGCTGGACTCTCGGGTTGAAACGGAATCGATTCCCAGCGTCTCCATTGGGGCAGGAGTGTCTGGAGTATGTTCCAAAATAAGAACTCAGAGAAACGAGTGAGTTTGGAAAAAAGACTTACAGATTTTGACGGTCTCTGACATTTCACCCTTCTTTGAGGCATGCCTTTATCAATGCGTTACCTCTTTGTAATTTCTGTCTCTAGTGTAATTATTTTCATCGTCTTCTCTGTGTTCAATTTTGGGGGCGATCAAAGCTTCCAGAGGCTAAATATCTCAGACTCTTTGATGCTGACTCGAGTTTGCACATCTTTTATCAATGGGAAAACACCTTTCCTGTGGAAAAACAAACTAATGATCCATGAGAAGTCTTCTTGCAAGGAATACTTGACCCAGAGCCACTACATCACAACCCCTTTATCTAAGGAAGAAGCTGAATTTCCCTTGGCGTACATAATGGTCATCCATCATCACTTCGACACCTTTGCAAGGCTCTTCAGGGCTATTTACATGCCCCAAAATATCTACTGTGTCCATGTGGATGAAAAAGCAACAACTGAATTTAAAGAAGCAGTAGAGCAACTATTGAGCTGCTTCCCAAATGCTTTTCTGGCTTCCAAGATGGAACCAGTTGTCTATGGCGGGATCTCCAGGCTCCAGGCTGACCTGAACTGCATCAAAGATCTTTCTGCCTTGGAGGTCTCCTGGAAGTATGTTATCAACACCTGTGGGCAAGACTTCCCCCTGAAAACCAACAAGGAAATAGTTCAGTATCTGAAAGGATTTAAAGGGAAAAATATCACCCCAGGAGTGCTGCCCCCGGCTCATGCAATTGGACGGACTAAGTACGTCCACCAAGAGCACCTGGGCAAAGAGCTTTCCTATGTGATAAGAACCACAGCATTGAAACCACCTCCCCCCCATAACCTCACGATTTACTTTGGCTCTGCCTATGTGGCTCTATCCAGAGAGTTTGCCTATTTTGTTCTGCATGACCCACGGGCTGTTGATTTGCTCCAGTGGTCCAAGGACACTTTCAGTCCTGATGAGCATTTCTGGGTGACACTCAATAGGATTCCAGGTACGTACAGTTCCCTATTTCATGCAAAATAAATGTGTCATATTTGAAAGGGCTTTGGAATAATCAGCCACTTTTTATTAGGAAGTAGAAGATGAAAACTGGAGTATATATATAGTCCTTTCTAAATGCAGAATGATTTTTTTTTTTTTTTTTTTGAGATAGGGTCTCACTCTGTGGCCCTGGCTGGAGTGCAGTGGCACCACCACGATTCACTGAAGCCTGGACCTCCTGGGCTCAAGTAATCCTCCCACCTCAGCCTCCTGAGTAGCTGGGACTACAGGTGCACACCACCATGCTGGGCTAATTTTTAAAAAATTTTTTGTGGAGACAGGGTCTCACCATGTTGCCCACGCTGGTCTCCTACTCCATGGCTCAAGCTATCCTCTCCACCTTGGCTTCCCAAAGTGCTGGGATTATAGGCATGAGCCACCATGCCTGGACCAGGATGATGCTCTTTATGTGATCATTCACATGTTCTAGCAGTACTAAATAATACCTTTCCATGGTACCACTTTGTGGTCTATCAAGTCCCTTTGCACACATCATCTTATTACATCTTTACCACAGTAGCTATTACTGTTCTCAGTCCACACTGGTGTTCTTTCTTTCCCCTAAATTTGTCAAGCTTGCTCTTACCCCAGGATCTTTGCCTGGGCCACCCTCCTGCCTACTCCAGGTCTCTGCAGGCTCGTTCTCTTCAGCCAGATTTCCGCTCTCAGGTATCAGCAGCTCTGATATGCCCCCTCACTGGCCAGCACACCACCCTGGTTTTCCTTCAAAGAGTTTATTGTCATGTGGAATTAGGACATTTGCCTATGCGCATGGGTTTGTTCTTGGTCTTCTCTGCACTTGTTCCATGAAACAAGGGTTATTTTCTATTTCATTAAATGCTCCTCAGTGCCTAGAACAGATAGTAAATGCTCAAGTGTATATTAGATGAATAAATGAGTGAATGAATGAGTGAATGAATGAGTGGTAAAGCATGAGGCTTTCCTATGGCACCAGAGCTGTCTCCCTAAGACGCTGTGAAGCTGAGAAATATTTGGATCATGCATGTGCCGAATTGTATGTGTAGGATTTTTAAAAATACATTTTATTTCAGATAAAATAATGAGATTTTAGGAGAAACTCCTTGCTTTCCCATAAAATTTTTCCTGTCTTTACTAATTTACCAGACCGATTGTTTTTTTAAAGTGTATAAAACATGATAGGATTTCTTCTGAAGGAAACAGCGTGCTTTGGACTCAATGAAAAATACAAAATGGATCTCTGATGAACTAGACAGCATTATTATAGCAAGAGAAAAGCAATCATTGTTCTGGCTCTTGGGGGGCTGCCAAGTTGGAAAGGCTGGTAGGTGCTCTCAGGCTGCAGGGCAGGGCCTGCTGGGCGATAAACATACCGGCATTCTCTGGAAAATACCATGCCCGGTGTCTGAGTCCCAGAATGGCTTGCCTGGTGAATGGGGTTCACTCATATGCTGCGCACACTCTCCTCATCTGCCTCTCCCTGGGCTCATCCTCTTTTCACCTGTGATCTGTTTTTTCTACCATTCACGTATCATTGAGGAGCATTGGGTACTTAAGAGCTAGCTGATTTTCATATTTAAATATTATTTCCTTTCTATTTTAATTATTTCCTTAAAATTCATAAAAGTTGGGTACCAGTCAAGTGGTTCCTTAAGTATCGTGCTGAGATGAAGGCATTTCGTAAGTTAGCAAAAGTCTGAATTGTTGCTTTTTTTTTTTAGAAAAACATGGGTTTTGGTTTCTATTAGATGTAAATGTCTGTGTTTACTTTGCCAGAGGCCTGGTCAGTTTTATCAGTGTCAAATAATATAAGAAAATCAAGGGGAAAGGAATTTCCCTTTTTTCCTTACTCCCTCTCTGATCTCTTGGGAGACCAAAAGAATATCTGGATAGATATAGGACAGAATGGTATCTGGAGGGGTATAGGAGAGAATGGTATCTAGAGGGGTATAGGAGAGAATGGTATCTGGATGGGTATAGGACAGAATGGTATCTGGAGGGGTATAGGAGAGAATGGTATCTAGAGGGGTATAGGAGAGAATGGTATCTGGATGGGTATAGGACAGAACACCCTTTTTGCTGTAGGTTTGTGCCATGGCATACTGGCTTCTACCTTCTTACAGCAACAGTGTGACCCCGTGTAAATCACAGAACCTCATGGGACCTCAAATCTCCCCAGCTACAAAATGGGGAACCCAAGTAGAAAGACCCCTTTCATATATGTATACCTGTCTTTGCAAAAGACAGAATGCCTAGAACTGCGTAAAGACCTCCTACGCTGCTACCGGGAATCTGCAGAGAGAAAGGCGGAAGTGCTGGTGAGCCTGTACCATGTATGCCCGTCAGCTTTGGCGAGTTCATCCCATTTCCCTTGCAGGAATTGGAGGTAAGAGCTCCTCCAGAGAGCAACTGCCCGGAGAGGAAGGCCAGTGTGACCCATGTCAGTGCTCTGTCCTGTCGATTCTATAAAGGATACCTTTCAGGATAATGTGGCATGTCCTGGGGCTTTGGCTCCTTCCTTTCTTAGACTCTGGGCAACATCCTGGTTCAGGGAGAAAGGATATCCTGCTTCTAGATAGGGCCTTCTTAAATTACAAGTGAATTACAGCAAACAAACCTTCAAATGTCCTAGCCCTAGCGGTGCCCCTCTCTACCTTCAAACGCAATGTAAAATCCAATCCCACGCTCAAGTTAACTGCCGTGGTTTTACACTTGGGCATTCTTTGTGATTTAAGATTTGGCTTATGAATCTAGTTCTTGTATAACCACACAGTCTTCTGTCAATATCAGCTCTTCTATTTACTTTTTTTTGAGACAGTCCCACTCTGTAGCCCAGGCTGGAGTGCAGTGGCGATCTCAGCTCACTGCAACCTCCAACTCTCAGGCTCAAGTGATTCCGAGCTTCCCAAGTAGCTGGGATTACAGGCCCCCGCCACTACACCCAGCTAATGTTTCATATTTTAGTAGAGACGAGGTTACACCATGTTGCCCAGGGTAGCCTGGAACTCCTGAGCTCATGTGATCCGCCCTCTTCGGCCTCCCCAAGTGCTGAGATTATAGTCATGAGCCACAGCACCCAGCAGAGCTCTTCTGTTTTCAACGTCAGGTTTTAAGGGGTAAAATTCTTCTGTCCGTACAGCGTAAACATCTTTTTGCAAGTGTGCAAGTGCAGGTGGTGGTGTACATTTCTTCCCTCAAAGTGACTGCCTTCCTCTCTCTGAAACACCTGAAATTAAAATGTGTTGGCAAGACCCTGTGCAGGCATTTCAAGTTTCCCAAAGCACCCCCAAGAGCAATGTGACTAAGAAAATGATTAGTGTCCTAGAATTAGCGAAACTGAATAGAAAGGCTATTCATAGAAGTAGCACTAAATCACATAGCTTCATGCTGCCTTTTTTTTTTTTTTTTTGATGGTGTCTTTCTACTGAGAGTGACTTCTGTCTTGGTTTTCAACCATTAGGCTCTTTCCACACTGTTAGAAATGGTGATAGAGGCCGGGCGCAGTGGCTCACGCCTGTAATCCCAGCACTTTGGGAGGCCGAGGCGGGTGGATCATGAGGTCAAGAGATCGAGACCATCCTGGTCAACATGATGAAACCCCGTCTCTACTAAAACCACAAAAAATTAGCTGGGCATGGTGGCGTGTGCCTGTAGTCCCAGCTACTCAGGAGGCTGAGGCAGGAGAATTGCCTGAACCCAGGAGGCGGAGGTTGCGGTGAGCCGAGATCGCGCCATTGCACTCCAGCCTGGGTAACGAGCGAAACTCCGTCTCAAAAAAAAAAAGAAAGAAAAAAAAAAAAAAAAGAAATGGTGATAGAGGTCCCTGGGGACCCCAGTCTCACACTCCTCTTCAGAGGAACCAGGTAGAGTGGCTGTCCTTCTGTTCTGTGTGGCATGTGCACAGATGGGGAGTCTAGCCCCCTCGCTCCTGGCCACATTCTCAAAGGAAATTCTCCAGGATCACAGTTTTCTCTGACCCGTACTACAGAGCACCATGCTGTGACAGCAGTGGCTTCCCTGACTTCCGGGGTGCCCGTATATTTTCTAACATCTCAGATCTTTGTAATGATTGCTCTGAGTCACTTTAAGAAATGCCCATGTGCTCTACCTCTTTTGGCTATTTTTCCAGCATTTTTATCTGCCTACTTTCCTCAAGACAGAGCACCTGAAGCCATTTAGATTTTTGCTTTATGCTTTGTGAAATCGTTCATCAACTACCCCAGTGGCCACTGGCTAGCTCCTTCCCAGTCCATTACCACAGCCAGATTGTCTTCTTACACTTCAGGGCGGCTTGGTCTCTAAGGAAGAGAGCTACCCTCCTCTTTGGCTTCAGCTACTTTTTTTCCCTTGCTGCACTAAGTGTGTTTTTTTGAATCTTTGCTCATTCATTACCCTGACCTTTCTCATGCCATGATGTTTTCCTTCCATAAGAATGTTTTCATTTGTCTCTTTTCCTTTTTCCATTTTGTATACGTTTTTATTTTTTTTTCAGAGCCCCTTTGTCAAATTCTCTTGACCTCAGAAGGGACCACATGATCCCATTTCCTCATTTTTAATTCTAAAAATATCATATTTCCTACTTTGATTTATTTTTCTTTTTTAACTGTGACTTTTATTTACATGCACACATTCTTTGGGAGGGTGTTAGGACTCTTTTGGTTGCAAGTGTCAGAAACTCAACTCAAAGGAGCTTAAACAAGCACTCGGGTCACATATCCGAGATGCCCAAGGGAGCTGCCAATCAAGCCGGATCAGTGAGTGAAACAGTGTGCTCAGTACCCTTTCTTGCTAGGTTGTCTCTGTGTGGGTTGACCAACTGTCCCTGTTTGCCCAGGTCTGAGGGGCAGTCCTGGGGGTGGGACCTTGATGGGTAGAGTCAGGTCGAGATGGTCCCCCTGTCTCTCAGCATCTCTGTGCTGGCTTCCATCAGGCAAGTTCTCCCCTGAAAGCAAAAAGCAGCTCCAAGTGCAC